AATTGGCTTCACACATCGAACCCGGGTGTTCGGCGTGACGAGCAAACGCTTTAATCACTAGGCTGGTCCCTCATATATACAGAGAATCTCACCCGAGTTTCTTTTGATATCAAATATATCACCACGAGTTGATAAAGTTACAAAGTTATTTTTACTTTTATCAACGAGTGTTGATATATTTGATATCAGAAGACACGAGGGTGAGATTCTATTTATCATAAAAAATCACTCTTCATTCGTTTTCATTGAAAAAAGTACATCTCTGACCACCGTTCTGCCAGTAGACTTGCAGTGCAGCGATGTCATAGCATTGTGACGTTATCATGCTCATGACGTCATAGCATTGTCAGGGTATTGTACAAAATCTACTCACTCGTTCTCACTAATGAGGTGCAATTGCTGTCCGCCCTGATCAGATAAAATACTTATGAAAGTTGATTAGATACGCTACCATATTTTAACAAGGTACAGAGAAGGCTACTTCTGACATTTCAGGATTCACTCAGAATTCATTTCGTATTTGACAGCAACTCCTCAAACACGTAAAACGATACCTAAGTTACCTGTCCGCCCCTTGGGTTGATAGAGATTTGTTGCAATAAAGAAATGCGAACAATAAGTATTGATTATTGTTACGGTTATATCGATTGGTGAGTGATCCTGCCTTGCTTCCATGTCTGTTATGGTATTCCGCTATGGTGATGAGGATACTCGTTACTGCACCATTGTCCGCTCACACAAGACTTGTCCGCTATGTTGAGGATACCTACGTTAGTGCACCATTTAGCTCAGACACAAGACTTGTCCGCTATGTTGAGGATACCTACGTTACTGCACCATTTAGCTCAGACAAAAGACTTGTCCGCTATGCTGAGGATACCTACGTTACTGCACCATTTAGCTCAGACAAAAGACTTGTCCGCTATGTTACCACGACCATTTAGCTCAGACAAAGACTTGTCCGCTATGTTGATACCTACGTTACTGCACCATTTAGCTCAGACAAAAGACTTGTCCGCTATGTTGAGGATACCTACGTTACTGCACCATTTAGCTCAGACAAAAGACTTGTCCGCTATGCTGAGGATACCGCTGTGTACGTTACTGCACCATTTAGCTCAGACACAAGACTTGTCCGCTATGTTGAGGATACATACGTTACTGCACCACGTTACTGTCCGCTATGCTGAGGATACCTACGTTACTGCTTTAGCTCAGACACAAGACTTGTCCGCTATGTTGAGGATACATACGTTACTGCACCATTTAGCCTTAGAACAAAGAACTTGTCCGCTAAGGATACACGTTACTGCAATTTAGTTGCACATCCTGACCACCCATTGTAAAAAATAAATTGGAAAACGTCAAGAAATGTATGGTGACACAAACAACTTGGTCTATGGCATACCTCTTCATACATCTACTCTTGAAACTAGTCAGTTAGAACCGTATATTATGAGTGATACCTACGTTACTAGGGCTGTATTTGCACGAGACCTTCAACATGAAATTAATAACATATAGCATTATAAAGGATAGTACAGTCATTGGCTTCATACAGATATCGGTGCTTTTAATTTTCACATTTTCACTGTTTGGATCGATTTTTCCAGTTAAAAATACATACGTTACTGAGGTGAGGTGAGGTGAAATTGAGTTTTACGTCGTGCTTGAGAATATTTCGCTCATATGGCGACGTGCATGCATGTGTATGTGTATGTGCGGCTGCTTGTACTAGCCCAGACTTAAGCTGGTTTTATAGTGCTAGCCCACTGAGATACCATGCCGCAGTGAAGCATGAATACCCCACTCAGACACATTATACTGACTCCGAGCTGACCAGTCCTTGTTGTACCGATTAATGCCAAGCGCCAGGCAGGGACCAACAAGTACCATATTTTAACGTCTTTGGGTATGACGCGGTCGGGGATCGAACCCGCGACCTTCCGCTCTCAGGGCGGACGCTCTAACCACTACACTACGGAGGCGGTCACATACGTTACTGATACATACGATACCAAGATATAAGTAACAATGGCTTTAGAGCTTTCCTTTAGAACTTTTCTTGCTTCCAAATTTAAAAGACGCCATTGCTGTTTAGATTGTACTTGTAATAAGACGTAGCATCATGTTTGCACCGCGTTCTTGGTTAGACTCGAATGTTTTGATACCCTTTGATACGTAGGGCTTGTCAGCATTTCAACAGAAACTCCGAGGTAAATATTTGATATGATGGTTATTACATTATGCCTCAGTAAATGCAAAAAAAACATTTACTCCGCTGTGAAGGGTTCATAATTTTCGCCTAGGTCTCTTTACAAGGGGTGATACCTACGTTACAAGTGACGAAGGTATCACCAGTTTCAGTGTCTATTTTAAGGTGTATATAATGCATTACGCTGCTGTTATATGACGTTATATAGCAGATATTGAATTAATCTAGTTCAAATATATAACCTGTGAACAAACACAATAAATATACATGTAAAAACTTGTGTTATAAAAGAATGTATGCATATATCTAACTGTATATCTAGCTAAACATTCAAAAGCAGATCTTCAGCATGATAAATGGTAAACTTTAATTTCAAATGACAATGATGTTACATAGTTGAAAGCTTGATTTCTACAAATTCAAAAGTGGATAATTTGACAAATTCACAGTCACCAGTGTGTTGAGAAGGTCTATGTCGTCTGCTTCTATCTATAAACTCTTTGCATCAGACTTGTGACTTTTGGGTGTGTTATCGTTTACATGATGGCTTTGTATGTAGTTTCAAATTTAACTGAGTTAAGAGTATGGGCTGAAGCTTCAGTTAAAGCATAAATTAGTTTACGACAAGATATGTTTCAGGAGGATGTTTGCTGTTGCTTTTCGTAAACGATACCTACGTTACTCCGGGTGTTGGTTGTGGGTATTATTATTGATACAGTGGTGTGAACTGGTTTAAATGTTTCAGAACCGCCTTAGGTGCCATTTTCCTCGTAGAATTTTGTTAACATACGGTGTTAAAGTAAGCTGATTGTGCGTTATGCCTTCTGTTAAGACGTTTGGAAGTGATACCTACGTCACTATGTCTGAAAGCGTATCCAATGGGGCATGTCCACTTTAATTCATATTTTGTTATCTGAACGAATCTCCTGTCAGGGGCAGGGATTTATTTATGGAAAAAAAAGATTGTTTTTACATTTTCAGACAAACTTACTTCTGTTCCGGATAAAATTCGAGTTTTATTTTTATTCACACTTAACGGCAAGTGAAAAATGATAGTCATTAATAAATGTATGGTCAAGTGACTGATAAGGGTAGTGCCACCACTTAAGTCAGAATGTCTTCTTAAATGCCATTTTCAAAGGCCATGTTACTGTTGAAAATTGATCATTTATTCATGTTGCTAAAAATTGATACTTACGTTACTTTTGGTACAGTCTGTAAAGACCACAATTCCTCAAGTGTAATTGACGATACAGATTTGAGATGTTTCATGTTCAAAAACATGTTGTATTTTGTTTCTGGCAATAAAACATTAATCTGTCGATATGTCTTTAATTTTAATCAGAGACAACACTCTGTGTAAATTGATTGAAATGTCAGGGAAAAGCATATTAAGTCGCTTTAGTGATCTACCAAGATTGATTGATTGGACAATATAACCAATTTTTTCCGTGAGTACATATAAACAGCTTCAACGCCAGTCGGGTTTAAGCGCATAGCAAACATAATATATTTGATGAAGACGCTATTGAAAACCTGTAACGTAGGTATCTGAGAGATTGTTTCACCCACATGGGTCCTTTTATTCACAACATCACAGCATCTTCAACATAGAACTGGTGTGGTGCAAACTTTAGGAAATCATACTTCATATGGCCCTTTATCAGAAAACCAAACCAATTCAAGTCAACTGAAAAGTAATTTTTTCACTTTTTTTAGAATGCGTTTGAGAACGGGTGTACTGTCAAAACGATATCTCCTAGGAGATGTTCTACCGATGTGTCTGCCCCCCTACGTTAGACGAACGTTACTAGAAAAAACAAATGATAAACAGTTTGATGACGGTTTGTGATTAACGTAAACCATATGGGGCAATATGAACGTCGCATTTCTACTACCATTCCACGATTGCATTGTGGGAATGTAAACATTGAGAACTTTACCCTGTCGCTGAAAACTTGTGAATCGAATTGAGACATTTTAAACGTCGGAAAACATAAACGTAATGTTTCCACCAGTGATCTTAGCTGCGTGAAGCAACTGCAAACCAAGAAACGGGATGCAACGGAGTAGTTTACTGTACGAGGCGATGACAACTGACATGCATCGTGACGTCGGTTACATTGTGACGTAATGCAAAAGTGTTCGATTACGAGGGGGCAGACTAGAATGGCGCAGTGACGCCAATACATTGTGACGTAATGCAAAAAGTGCACATTATCGTCTGATAAAGTACTGTCGGCGCCTTTGATCTTTCACCGAAGCATCTTAGAATCACCACTGAACAGTTGTGTACGATTGTTTATTAATAACATTAATCAAATTATGTAAAAGTGGCTTATGACTGTTAACTTCACACACTATGTTTGTTTGTTGTCTAAAGCCGCACTCAGCATATTCCATCTATGTGACGGTGGTCTGTAAACAATCGACTCCGGACCACATTCGTAATCCAGTGATCAACAGCATGAGCATCCATCTACGCTATTGGGATACGATGACACGTGCCAACAAAGTCATCAAGCCTGACCACCCGATGCCGTTAGTCGCCTCTTTCGACAAACATGGGTTGCTGAAGACAAATTCATTTATTAGAAGTTTTGGAATCATCAATATTTGGTCATGATCCATCAGCAAAAAGTACACCATCGTTAAGTGAATTATATCTAAATCAATACAAGAAATAGAATCAACTCTCTTATTTTAGAAAAGACAGTCCCTCTCCCGTCGCGAACCCGTGTCCGCCAACATAACAGAAATTAACAAATCTTTACTGTGGGGAGTTACTTCCCTTTGACTGGACGCTGTACACACGTGCTGTTGTTTGTGTCTATTCAAGAAAATGGCCTCAACCAAGAAAGTTGGAATATTGGTGGAATTTAACTATGAAGATTTGGAGGTATGAAGAGTTGCAGATTCAACTCCAGTAATGGTTCATTTCAGTAATAATTGATGGACAATTGCCCTCCCTAAATTGGCGTCTGCTGCTTGTGTATCATGGTTGTCGTTGTCAAGATTTGGTTTATGACTGAGGTTTATTGCCGTAATAGAAATGTTTGAATTCAGCACGTCCTATTTTCAAACACTACAGGGTTGCCAATGTCAGTTTTTAATGATATGTATCTGTTGGTAACGTACCTGGTACTGCGGAGGACGTGTGGACTGCTTATGTTGCAAATGTACCCTATTTTCGTGATACGGAAGCGCAAACACGAGACAAGTATATTTTACTTGCGCTTTTTTCACTGTCTTTTGGTCATTTTATCAAGAAACGCTTCACTTAGTTTGGAGGTCCGTGTCAGTTAGCTCTCATTATTATAGTGAGTGAGTGAGTGTGTTTAGTTGCGCTCAACAATATTAAAGCTATATGGCGACGGTCTGTAAATAATCGAGTCTGGACCGGACAATCCAGGGAGTGATTACCAGTGTGAGCATCAATCTACGCAATTGGGATACGATGACATGTGTCAACCAAGTCATCGAGCCTGACTCTCGATCACGTAAGTCGCATGTTATGACAAGCATGGTCTACCGAAGATGAATTCTGACCCGGAACTTCATGGGTCTAATATTATGGTCATTAATAGACATTAATGCATGCACATGTGGCTGCTTTTACTGATGGTGGGTATGATGACGATGATGATGATGATGATGATGATGATAAAAATGAAGTGATCGAGGGGCATGTAGTTGTATGATGAAGCTGTTGGTTATATATACTCTGATGATATTTAAAGATAATGTTGATGAAGATGGAAGAATTCATGATGATCCAATTTCAAGATTGTCTTCGATTGTCTTTGAAGCCCAGTCAGCTTCAAAGTGCTAGCCCTCTGAAATATCCACTGTCCACAGTTTGCCATAAACTCCCCTCTAACACACACTTTACTGACTTCTATAGCTGTCCAGTCCGTCCTTTATCATCTTACCCTGAATGCCAGTAAGGGTGACAGCAAGACTTTGAATGTCTGTTCATATGACATGGCCTGGGGATTGAACCACCGAATCACCAAGTGCAGAGACTGTGTGCAATGGACCATAGAGGCATTTTACTGAGTTAATAACTTTAAATTCCGGTACAGTGGCACATGTAAAATCACTTGCCTTGAAAATTTGTCAACTCTACCGGTTGATTGTCTTGTTCATTATTTTAAATAAGCAACATTATTAACATTGGAAAGTCAACTGGACACAGGTACAGCATTTTGCTTGCCGGACAGACTGGGCTGGGACGTCAGGCAATGGGTTATTTCCACCCCTGTTAGTGGGGCAGATGGCTAGCCTAGTGGTTAAGGCTTTTGCTCATCCATGTTCAATTCCGCATAATGCGTTGCGCCCATTTTTGGTGTCCCCGCTGTGATATTGCTGGAATATTGCCTAAAAGAGGCGTAAAAATATACTCACTCAATGAGTTTAGATTGGACCCAGCTTTCGAAAGTTATTGCTAGCTGATTGTGAATCTGCCAGTAAGATATGTTGTTAAAGCTATCCTGACTAGCTAGTTGAAAATCTGAGATAATTTGTTCTTTATTTAATGCAAATGCTTATTATGAAGACAATTATTAAGGTGTTTAAAGTCCGTCTGCAAAAGTTTTGTGATATGTATTACCTCTTGTCACTCACTCAAAAGTGAGGGAGTGAGTGAGTTTTACACCACACTCAGCAATATTCCACCTATATGGCGGTGGTCTGTAAATAATTGAGTCTGGGCCAGACAATCCAGTGATCAACATCATGAGCATCAATCTGCGCTATTGGGAACCGATGACATGTGTCAACCAAGTCAGCGAGCCTGACCACTCGATCCCGTTAGTCGCCTCTTACGACAAGCATGGGTTACTGAAGATCAATATTGTAACCCGGACCTTCACGGGTGCGTTACGCAAAAGAGGTTAGGAACCATTACAATACAAAGGTAACATTTAACTTGATTAGCTAAGGCTAAATAAAAAACAAATGTTGTGGTTCTGATTACACATCTTTAAAATTTAGGGTAGGATTTAAAACAAAAATTATAAGTAAAGTACAAACTAATAACACATTATCAATATGTAATTGTTTATTCAGTCAAGCTTGAGGCCATCATGTCGACTTTCTCGACATCATGTCCGTCGTTGCCGGGAAAATACAGTGGTATCTGAAAGCTACCATTTTATTTTTTTTAATTTTCATTCTTACTGCTTAACAAAAATAGAGTCGGCACTAGAATTCAAGGGTCGGTCGAGTAATCGGAACCACAACATTTTTGTATAGGCATAAGGCTCTACTGGTATGCCGATGTGCAGTTTGATATTGATATTTTGCAGGGCCAGTGAATTGCGATGTGGGCTAGCAACTTTTTAGTTAGCTAGCCCTCCTGGCCAGTGACTTTTCAAAATTAATTCATACACTGATTGGACCAGCCTTCTTTATATAATAAGCTTCATAAATATATCAGTAATAAGTGGTTGCAAATTCAATCAAATTTTCATGATTATGACAGGATGGTAAAATAAACATTCAAGCCTATGAATAGCATTATTATTTGTTCGAATGAAATGTCTGCACATCATTTCTGGAGATGAAGCAATGATAACTATATGTGCAAATGGTCAGACCTTCTAGAAAGAGTCAAACGGAGCTTTCAAGGGAAGTTGCCACTCAGAAATGTCAGTTTTCTTCCATCATTTAATGAAAGACAATACTTGCATTGTGGAAAGTGGGGTGATGAAGTGCATGAAGCCCTAGTGTCTGTGATCGATGTTACAGTTTTTACTTCCTGCTCAACAGCAAACTGCCAGAAGATTTGACTCACTACAAATGTTATGATGTGTTTCAATGGCAATGTTTTAGCTGTGGTACCCTCTGCTGCGACTGAGAGAAGCCGGGTACACTGTGATTACAATATCTGGGGAGAAAGGAAAGAAGTACACCAGCAAACATGGCTACCCATGTGTATCGGATGAAGCCATTGAGAACGTTTCAGTTGAGGTAAGTGCGTTTTGTAATAAGGGACCATTCATAATTTATGACTAGAGGGGGTGATGATGATTTTTATGGAGAAGCATGTAAAATGTGAATGACAACCCCTAAAATTTATGTGGAAGGTAAGCATGTCATGTACAAAATCAATGATCTCCCAACACCCTTCCCACAATTTATAACCATAATTTTTTAATATCTCCATGTACAAAATTGCTGACCTCTCCCCCTAATACATGCATACAATTTTGATGACCCCCCCACACCTCCCCTCGACAAAATGGCACCCCCACCCCCACAAAAAATAATTAAATCATCGTCACCACCCTTGCCATAAATTTTGAATGGTCCCTAAATATCTTTTGCGTTATTAAACCCGCCCCAAATGTATTGTGTATTATTAAGCGCTGTTGGATGTTCAGGTTGATGCTTTTAAGATTACTTCCTTATTGCATTCCTTGTTACTCTCTCTTTCAGACGCTCTAGTGACAGAAATGTCTCTTGTAAAGTGCCAAAAGGCACTTGCAATAATGTTTATGCATAGCTTTTGGAATTATATTGTGCCAACATGAATAAAATTTGTATCCTTCTTTTCTGATTATACATGAATATAATTTGGATTGTTTATGCCTCATTATATACACTGAAATAAGTAACATCCTGTTTCCAGGAATATTTAATGATTTATGCTGGTTTTATCTAAGTTTATATATGTCTTGATAATTTTGGAGAAGACTTTTGTTTTTATTGTGAATGATTCATAGTGTGTATTTGACCAGTTTCATGGACACATGACAAGTAAATCTGCATTAAAGGTTCGAGGAAAGATTTGTTATATGAACACCTAAAACATCTTTGAGGTGTACCTGTGAGGGGACATAGGGTCCATCCCCAATGTCTGTCTCCATCCCCAATGTCTGTCTCCATCCCCAACAATGTCTGTGTCTTCATCCCCAACAATGTCTGTCTCCAACCACAACAATGTCTGTCTCCATCCCCAACAATGTCTGTCTCCATCCCAAACAATGTCTGTCTCCATCCCAAACAATGTCTGTCTCCATCCACAATGTCTGTCTCCATCCCAAACAATGTCTGTCTCCATCCCGAACAATGTCTGTCTCCATCCCCAACAATGTCTGTCTCCATCCCCAACAATGTCTGTCTCCATCCCCAACAATGTCTGTCTCCATCCCCAACAATGTCTGTCTCTTCATCCCCAACAATGTCTGTCTCCATCCCCAACAATGTCTGTCTCCATCCCCAACAATGTCTGTCTCCATCCCCAACAATGTCTGTCTCCATCCCCAACAATGTCTGTCTCCATCCCAAACAATGTCTGTCTTCATCCCCAACAATGTCTGTGTCTTCATCCCCAACAATGTCTGTCTCCATCCCCAACAATGTCTGTCTCCATCCCCAACAATGTCTGTCTTCATCCCCAACAATGTCTGTGTCTTCATCCCCAACAATGTCTGTGTCTTCATCCCCAACAATGTCTGTGTCTCCATCCCCAACAATGTCTGTCTCCATCCCCAACAATGTCTGTCTCCATCCCCAACAATGTCTGTCTCCATCCCCAAACAATGTCTGTCTCCATCCCCAACAATGTCTGTGTCTTCATCCCCAACAATGTCTCCATCCCAAACAATGTCTGTGTCTTCATCCCCAACAATGTCTGTCTCCATCCCCAACAATGTCTGTGTCTTCATCCCCAACAATGTCTGTCTCCATCCCCAACAATGTCTGTGTCTCCATCCCCAACAATGTCTGTCTCCATCCCCAACAATGTCTGTCTCCATCCCCAACAATGTCTGTCTCCATCCCCAACAATGTCTGTGTCTTCATCCCCAACAATGTCTGTCTCCATCCCCAACAATGTCTGTCTCCATCCCCAACAATGTCTGTCTTCATCCCCAACAATGTCTGTCTTCATCCCCAACAATGTCTGTGTCTTCATCCCCAACAATGTCTGTCTCCATCCCCAACAATGTCTGTCTCCATCCCCAACAATGTCTGTCTCCATCCCCAACAATGTCTGTCTCCATCCCCAACAATGTCTGTCTCCATCCCCAACAATGTCTGTCTCCATCCCCAACAATGTGTGTCTCCCATCCCCAACAATGTGTGTCTCCATCACCAACAACGTCTGTCTCCATCCCCAACAATGTTCTGTCTCCATCCCCAACAATGTGTCTCCATCCCCAACAATGTGTGTCTCTCCATCCCCAACAATGTCTGTCTCCATCCCCAACAATGTGTGTCTCCATCCCCAACAATGTCTGTCTCCATCACCAACAATGTCTGTCTCCATCCCCAACAATGTCTGTCTCCATCACCAACAATGTCTGTCTCTCATCACCAACAATGTGTGTCTCCATCCCCAACAATGTCTGTCTTCATCCCCAACAATGTCTGTCTTCATCCCTCAACAATGTCTGTCTCCATCCCCAACAATGTCTGTCTCTTCATCCCTCAACAATGTCTGTCTCCATCCCCAACAATGTGTGTGTCCCATCCCCAACAATGTCTGTCTCTCCCATCCCCAACAATGTCTGTCTCTTCATCCCTAACAATGTCTGTCTCCCATCCCTCAACAATGTCTGTCTCCATCCCTAACAATGTCTGTTCTCCATCCCTAACAATGTGTGTGTCTTTATCCCTAACAATGTCTGTCTCTTCATCACCAACAATGTCTGTCTTCATCCCCAACAATGTGTGTGTCTCTCCATCCCTAACAATGTCTGTCTCCTCATCACCAACAATGTCTGTCTCCTATCCCTAACAATGTCTGTCTCTTATCCCAAACAATGTCTGTCTCCATCATCTCAACAATGTCTGTGTCTCCATCCCCAACAATGTCTGTCTCTTCATCCCAACAATGTCTGTCTTCATCCCTAACAATGTGTGTCTCCATCCCCAACAATGTCTGTCTCCCATCCTAAACAATGCCTGTCTCCATCCCAACAATGTCTGTCTCCATCCCTAACAATGTCTGTGTCTTCATCCCCAACAATGTCTGTGTCTTCATCCCTAACAATGTGTGTGTCCTATCCCCAACAATGTCTGTGTTCCCATCCCCTAACAATGTCTGTGTCCATCCCTAACAATGTCTGTCTCTCATCACCAACAATGCCTGTCTCCATCCCCAACAATGTCTGTCTCTCCATCCCCAACAATGTCTGTGTTCTTCATCCCCAACAATGTCTGTGTCTTTCATCCCTAACAATGTCTGTCTCCATCCCCAACAATGTCTGTGTCTCCATCCCCAACAATGTCTGTGTCTCTCATCCCTAACAATGTCTGTCTCCATCCCTCCAAACAATGTCTGTGTCCATCCCTAACAATGTCTGTCTCTTCATCCCCAACAATGTCTGTCTCCATCCCCAACAATGTCTGTGTCTCCATCCCCAACAATGTCTGTGTCTTCATCCCTAACAATGTCTGTCTCCATCACTAACAATGTCTGTCTCTCCATCCCCAACAATGTCTGTGTCTTTCATCCCCAACAATGTCTGTGTCTCTCATCCCCAACAATGTCTGTCTCTCCATCCCTAACAATGTCTGTGTCTCATCATCCTCAACAATGTCTGTGTCTCATCCCCAACAATGTCTGTGTCTTCATCCCCAACAATGTCTGTCTCCATCCCCAACAATGTCTGTCTCTCCATCCCTAACAATGTCTGTGTCTTCATCCCCAACAATGTCTGTGTTCTCATCCCTAACAATGTCTGTCTCCATCCCCAACAATGTCTGTGTCTCTCATCCCTAACAATGTCTGTGTCTTCATCCCCTAACAATGTCTGTCTCCATCCCCAACAATGTCTGTGTCTCCATCCCAACAATGTCTGTCTCCCATCCCCAACAATGTCTGTCTCCATCCCTAACAATGTCTGTCTCCCCATCCCCAACAATGTCTGTCTCCCCATCCCCAACAATGTCTGTCTCCATCCACAACAATGTCTGTGTCTCCTCATCCCAACAATGTCTGTCTCCATCCCCAACAATGTCTGTCTCTATCCCAATGTTTGTCTCTATCCCCAACAATGTCTGTTTCCATCCCCAATGTCTGTCCCCATCCCCAACAATGTCTGTCTCTATCCCCAATGTCTGTCTCCATCCCCAATGTCTGTCTCCATCCCCAAATGTCTGTCTCTGTTCCCAACAATGTCTGTCCCTTAATTCCAATGTCTGTCTCCATCCCCAATGTCTGTCCCCATCCCCAATGTCTGTCTCTATCCCCAACAATGTCTGTCCCATCCCTAACAATGTCTGTCTCCATCCCCAACAATGTCTGTCTCCATCCCCAACAATGTCTGTCTCTATCCCCAATGTCTGTCTCCCCATCCCTAACAATGTCTGTCCCATCCTCCCAATGTCTGTCTCCATTCCCAACAATGTCTGTCCCCACAACAATGTCTGTCTCCCATCCCTAATGTCTGTCCCCATCCCTCCCAATGTCTGTCTCTATCCCCAACAATGTCTGTCCCTCACTCCTAACAATGTCTGTCTCCATTCCCAACAATGTCTGTCTCCCATCCCCAACAATGTCTGTCTCTATCCCCAATGTCTGTCTCCATCCCCAATGTCTGTCCCTACTCCCAATGTCTGTCTCCATCCCCAACAATGTCTGTCCCTATCCCCCAATGTCTGTCTCCCATCCCCAATGTCTGTCCCTACTCCCAATGTCTGTCTCTATCCCCAACAATGTCTGTCCCTATCCCAATGTCTGTCTCCCATTCCTCAACAATGTCTGTCTCCATCCCCAACAATGTCTGTCTCTATCCCCAACAATGTCTGTCTCTATCCCCAACAATGTCTGTCTCTATCCCCAATGTCTGTCTCCATCCCCAACAATGTCTGTCTCTATCCCCAATGTCTGTCTCCATCCCCAATGTCTGTCTCCATCCCCAATGTCTGTCTCCATCCCCAATGTCTGTCCCCATCCCCAATGTCTGTCTCCATCCCCAAATGTCTATCTCCATCCACAATGTATGTCTCCATCCCCAATGTCTGTCTCCATCCCCAATGTCTGTCCCCATCCCCATCCCCAATGTTCTGTCCCCATCCCCAATGTCTATCTCCATCCACAATGTCTGTCTCCATTACCAATGTCTGTCCCCATCCACAATGTCTGTTCCCATCCCAAGAATGTTTTTTTCTGCACACCCAATGTCTGTCTCCATCCCTAATGTATATCCCTAATCCCCAGTGTCTGTAGCCATACCCAACATATGTCCTACCCCCAAAGCATATACAAAGGTGTCCAGGTATGATGGATGCGTATCATGATGTAAACTCTGTCAGTCCTTCACTGTCCACACGGTGGGGTTCTGGTTTAGAATAGGTCCCCAGCAACCTGTGTCTGAAGAGGCAGCGAAATGGTTGGTGGTCAGGCTAGATAACTTGGTTATATTACAACAAAATCGGTCATTGCTCATAATTTCAATAAATGGATTTGTCTTGTCTCGATTATTGGCAGGAGCAGTGAGGACCGCATGGGTAGCCTAGCGGTTAAAGCATTTGCGGCACGACGAAGACTCGGGTTCAATTCCCTACATATGTACAATATGTCAAGCCCTTTTCTGGTGTCCCCTCACCCTGATATTGCTAGAATATTGCTAAAAGCGACGTAAAACCACCCTCACTCTCTCAGTTAAACACAACTCACACAATCCCATGTTAACAGGACCTTGCTGCCCTGATCATACCAGGTGGGTTCTGCCCTGATTACCTCCGGCGGGACAAGCGTATGGTAGACCTGGTACGAGACATGTATACTGCAGGTAAGGACGTTTCCAACAGCTTTCTGTTTTCTCCCTGTGGAGGTTCCCTGTCATCCTACAGGGGTAGCCTAGTGGTTGATGCGTTCCCTCATCACGCCGAAGACCATGGTTCGATTCCCCACATGGGTACAATGTGTGAAGCCCATTTCTGGTGTCCCCCACCGTGATATTGCTGGAATATTGCTAAAAGTGGGGTAAAACTAAACTCACTCACTCACTTATAATTACCTAAAGCTCGGCAGGAGAATATTTGAATGATGATTGTCCGATGACTGTGACCTGGCTGATTGGTATCATTGTTCCCTTGTTAATTGCTCTTTCTCCAGACTCGATCTTTCACAGGCTTCTTTGATACAGCTGGGTCTTATCTGATTTTGAAATAAAACACTTATAAAATACACTTACATACAATCTTTAAGATGTTTTTTCCATGCCGTTCTTGCAGTAGAGACAAAAATTACTTGGGGATTGTAATTTTTGTGTGCTGTTAATACGCCTGTGATGATTGTATCTTTAGGAAGCAAGTCATGGGTCCAAGTCAGTACAGGGAGTCCCTTGGTTGCACATGTTATAATAAAGTGTGGAGTTGTCTGTTGCCAGCAGAAACCTTGTCTTGCATTGTGGGGTTAATTGTACATGCACAAAATGATAAAATTCATGAAAGGTGAAGGTATCCTCCCCATGAGATGTGAATGCAGTTGATTAACACGTAGCATAACATGAACAACAATTGAATTATCATGTCTAGTGATGTTTGATTGCATGTTTCATGTACATATATCTATTTTCATTCACAAAGTTTGTTTTTTTTTACCTCCAACGATGTGTCGTTTTGATTGGGCACAATACACGAAAAAGCGGTTCTGTTATGTCCATGGAAAATACGATTTTACTTAGCCTTTATTCTGTGTTATGTATAAGTTACTATAACGCCGGTGGCTAATATCGCGGGGGTCATCCATGGACCCCAAGACCCGCGTTATGGAGAGGGATGACTGTATTTACCATTAAAATTGTTGATGGGGTATTTATCGTTATAAGTCAAAGAGATAGATAATCGTTAACTACATATCGACCATTTATCGATACATATCTGAGGAGTACCCAAGCGTAAATGTAAAAAAATATTCAACAGATCAACATGTTTCACATGGCTGTGAGTGGTACCACATTTTTGTATGGGTTACTATCAAAACAGGACCGCCTCCGTGGTGTAGTGGTTTGAGCATCCGCCCGGAGAGCGGAAGGTCGCGGGTTCGATCCCTGACCGCGTCATACCAAAAGACGTTAACATATGGTCCTTGTTGGTCCCTGGCTGGCACTCGGCATTAATGGGTACAAGGACTGTTCGGCTCGGAGTCAGTATAATGTGTCTGAGTGGGATAGTCATGCTTCACTGCGGCATGGTATCTCAGTGGGCTAGCACTATAAAACCAGCTTCAGTCTGGGCTAGTACAAGCAGCCGCGCCTACACATACACACGCTTGCACGTCGTCATATCAACGAAATATTCTCAAGCACGACGTAAAACCCAATTTCACCTCACCTCACCTACTAGCAAAAACAGGGCCCTGATAAGAATTTAGTAGCATACCATAAGGACGTAACTTTGTATTGTAAAACTTTATTTCATAACAATAGTTCATGCAAAATATTACATACGACACAATTGTCATGCCGATGACTATTAATTATTCTTTCAGTCGGAGATATTTCCGATTATCGATCTTTTTAGCCCAATTCAATTGTGTCTTCGTCATCGTGTCCCAACGTCGGATATGAAATGTGTGCTTCCGCTTTCTGTTATGGGAATAAACCTGAGCTTGCTGGCTACATATTCGTGCCTAATGTGTCAATATTCACCAGGGTGGTCAGGCTCGCTGACATGGTTGACTCATCACCGTATCCCATTTGCGTACATTGATGCTCATGCTGTTGATCCCTGGGGTGCTTGGACCAGACTGGAATATTTACAGACAGCTGCCCAAAAGCTGGAATATTGATGAAAGCAGCATTAAACAACAAACAAACCAAACCAAGCAATATTCACCATATGGCAGGATATGATGTCAAACTGTCCCAGGATGATATATACGACTCACTCAGAATTGTACATGTAGTCATGTTTTATTTTAGTTTATCTCAAGTGACATATACAACATTTACTCATAAACGTCAGAAATATGATTTATGCCCCCGTCTCAAGTACATTCAGCTACAAGTCACATGCCAGCACATGTGCTACTTCTTACAATGCTGCGCATGCGCAGACGTTATTTCGTCTACTTGTCTTTTTGACGAATGTTGATTATAGAGGGTTGCGAGTGGTGCTAAATATAATTTAACAAGTGACAACGTAAGCACTGTATGGGTCGTAGTCTACCTGATCCCTTGTTCATGCTTATCAGACTTTTATCATTAGAAGGTGAATCTGTCCATGTTAATTAGTCTTGTTTCTAAGTCATTCACTGACATTGAGAAAGAGTTTGATTTCGTCTGGTAACTAATTACATAATAATAGTCTACTTGTAACACGCTGAATCCATGCACAATACATGCTCAAAGCGCGCTTGTCGAGAGCAGATGAGAGAAGCTACGCGGACAAAGCAAGTCTGAACAGGAAGGTTTTGAGTTGGGTCTTAAAGGCTGACAATGATTCACAGTCTTTCAGGTACTGGGGTAGAGAGTTCCAGGCTTTAGTGGTTAAATATGCAAATGTTCTCTCACCATAGCGGAATGTTTTTACCATGGGAACATGGAGCAGGGTTTTGGTTTGGGAACGTAGAGTTCTTGCTGGTGTGTAGGCTTTAATCAGATCAGATATGTAATATAATGATACTTTTCACTATTTGTATTGCCCATACATTGTCTGTCCGGGTTCTGCTATGTATTGATCTTGACCACCCAGTCAATTGTGCCACCTCTTACGATAACGATCAGTCCGATTTAACCCGGAATGCCGCCACGTTGAATGATATTCGTTCCAAATGTCATCTGTCGAAATATCAAATCAGTCTACTGTTTAAGGTCCCCGCCACCTTTGCGAACTGCGTGGCACATAAACTCTGTACTATATATGAAAAGACAAGGGGAGAAGGAACATATCTAAGCATAATTTGAAACATATTTTTATGTACAAAATTGCTCTCCCCCCCCCCCCCAGTACGTGTGTACAAAATTGCTGATCTCCCCCTCTAGCTCCCCAGAACAAAATGGGTTACTCCACCCATTAAATTCATCATCACCCCACCCACCCATTAAATTCATCATCACCCCCACCCACCCCTACCCCACCCCTAACCATAAATTATGAACGGTCCCTAATTTTGCTGATTTTCGTCTAAATGTTTCAGAGGTTACCATTTTCTATAACCAGTTGTACTTGCAAACCCATACGGTGAGTCTCAAGGCACAAGCACAGGAACGTATCGTGATCTGTATAATCCTCAGGGGGCGGTGGGGTAGCCTAATGGTTAAAGCGTTGGCTCGTCACGCCGAAGACCCGGGTTCGAATCCCCACATGGGTACAATGTGTGAAGCCCATTTCTGGTGTTCCCCGCCGTGATGTTGCTGGAATATTGCTAAAAGCGGCGTAAAACCAAACTCAGTCAGTCAGTCAGTCAGTATAATCCTCAGACTCGGCGGCACATTCCATTGCATGCGTTACAAAGGAGAAGTAGATCTGTAGTCCAATGGATTGGGTACAGATGAATTCAGCTGTACGATTAACCCTAAGGCTTGATATCATATCATTAAGATCCAGTTTTGACTTTTCATCATTTATCAAACTAATCAGTAATGTAACGAAAATAGGGTTCAAAGCGCCGTTAAACCAAAGTCAATCACTGATGTAATTTAACCCGTGATGATCCGGATTATAATTGGTCTTCAGCAACTCATGCTTGTCGTAAGAGACGACAAACGCTGTCAGGCTCGGTGACTTAGCTTACACATGTCATTGTATAACAACTGCGTAGCTCGATACTCATGCTGTTGATCACTGGATTGCCTGGTCCAGACAATTATTTATAGACCGCAGTCATATAGCTGGAATATGATAGTGTGCGGCGTTAAAGAACAAAAAAAAAAGTAAAAACAAAAAAACAAACAACAAAAATAAACACTGATGTATTATAATGAAAAACATGAATTGCACTCCTTCATTCCTAGGAGCACGGTCAGCGTACTGATGAGAAGCGTCTAAATTCTCTCAACAGAAGTACCTCTTAACTTATTGTTACAGGTTACGGTATCCGTTAGTTTGGATCGATGTGACGGTCTTTTCTTTACCAACCTGAAACGTGGTAAACGACCTGCTTCACCTGAGGCGTTCGGACCGCCGCTTTCCAATGTTTCCCAATGACGAATGTGTATAGGGACATCATTTTCGTGCATTTAATGCTGGGGTTTGAATGACATTCATGTCAGAGCTTAAAACCATATCTGTGAAAGATCATTTTAAAAATCTTCTCCTAGCCTTAGGGGCGGTGGGGTAGCCTAGTGGTTAAAGCGTTCGCTCGTCATCCCGAAAACCCGGGTTCGATTCCCAACTTGGGCGCAATGTGTGAAGCATAATTATCACGTTATATAACCTCAATACCAACCTACCTGGGTCACGGATTCCATATGATCAGGGTATATGGTCTCTGCTTGGCTAGATTTTCGAGCTGATGCAGCCCCGGATAAGCCATTAATTTGTTTAATCTAGGCAATGTGTTGCTTGCAACGCGTCCTGGTAATGATCACCTCTGGTTGTGACGGCATGGTAACGATGACCTCACAATGGTCTGCAATGCATTGTGATGCATTTTCATTGCATCAGTAGTTGTGGGTGAAGGCTTCATATTACTAAAGTGCCACTTTGGGATGGCAGGCTCCACAGGGGTTCGAATCACTGTTTGGACAATAAATTTTAAAAATAAAAAATCTATATTTTTGCAACCGTGTATTATTTTTACATGTTATGAGTAACTTATGCTTCAAATTTGAACGAAATCGCTGTCCGGTTTTCGATCAGGCGTTTAGCATCGCGAGTGTCATCCCTTGTGTAATTTATGTAATGAGTGTAGCGGGAGAATTTTCTAAAAAATCCATTTCTTCACCGATTTCGTTCAAATTTGAAGCATAAGTTACTCATAACATGTAAAAACAATATACGGTTGTAAAAATATAGATTTTTTATTTTTAAAATTGATTGTCCAAACAGTGATTCGAACCCCTGTGGCAGGCTCCTATCACAGTCACTCGTGTTATTAACAAGCGTCTATCCAGATACTAATGACACTTACTAAACAACTCCTACTACCCAGTTTAGGAAATTAGTAAACATTTAGAAATCGTTATTGATGTTGACAGATCAATTCAGCTTATACTTCGTTCTTCTCACCGCCTCCGTGGTGTTGTGGTTAGAGCGTCCGCCCGGAGAGCGGAAGGTCGCGGGTTCGATCCCCGACCGCGTCATACCAAAAAGACGTTAAAATATGGTATTTGTTGGTCCCTGCCTCGCGCTCGGCATTAATGGGTACAACAAGGACTGGTCGGCTCGGAGTCAGTATAATGTGTCTGAGTGGGGTATTCATGCTTCACTGCGGCATGATATCTCAGTGGGCTAGCACTATAAAACCACCTTCAGTCTGGGCTAGTACAAGCAGCCGCACATACACATGCATTCACGTCGTCATATGAGCGAAATATTCTCAAGCACGACGTTAAACCCAATTTCACCTCACCTCACCTATACTACGTTCTCTACATAAAACAAAACATATATAAGAAATACTAAGATTTTATTACGCTGTGTTCTACTCTTTGACAAAAGTAAGTTCCTAACGGGATCTCGGGCCCAGACAATTGGTATAGCAAGGTTAAAAGAACAAATTTTATTTCTCATAATTTAAATGGGCCCATTATCATACATGTACCCATACATACATTTTGTGATTTGATGAGAAGACAGAAAATGATATGTACACTGTTCCATGATTTTAAGATGAAATAAGCAAAATTACATTATATAAGTAATACGCGCATACCTTAACACCGTACAGTTACCCGCAGTCACAGCCATATCAGTAAAATATGTATGTCAGCTGGAAAATAATTCAGCTGACTCTTGTACTATAGTCCCAATCCCTATATTCCAGCTTTAGTTCATATGTTCCAGTTAGGAAGATAGATTTGCTTCATCGTGAACAGAACTGAGTGAGTGAATGAGCGAGCTGGAATTAACGTCTCTTTGATTTGTGTTTTGTTTGTTTATATTAAAAACGATTTTGTTGTTTAACGCCGCCCTCAGCAATATTCCAGCTATATGGCGGTGGTCTGTAGTAATGGACACTGGACCAGACAATCCAGTGATCAACATCATGAACATCGATCTACGCCACTTGGATACGATGACATGTGTCAACCAAGTCAGCTAGCCTGACCACCTGATCCCGTTCGTCGCCTCTTACGACAAGCATGGGTTACTGAAGAACAATTCTTCACGGGTTGTCTTATGACAGCAATGGTGGCTGAAGACCAGTGTTCCGGATGTTAACGTGTCCCACGCCACTACAAACAGTAGTCCAGTTACGGCGTGTCAGCTTAATGTGATACAGGTCTCATACCTTAAGTGTAACCGACGAGGACATGTATGGTATTGACAAACGTACAGAACAAATTGGGGCAATTGGGATTCGAACCCGCCATCACATTGGCCAAGGGGACGCAGCTTACAAAGCAGATTACGTCTCCTTTGACGAACGTATCACCCATGATCCCAGAAGTTATAAAGTACATGCTTATTTTCTGTTCACGCTTGAAATATGTCATAGATTCGCCTGTATAGTTCATTCAGATCAGTAGGTCTTAGATACATGTATAGACGAAATCCTACCTTGTGAAAAAAGGATATTGTTTTTAAAGTAAATTGTTTCAATGGGCATCAATGGATATTTTCTTTTCAATTATTTTTTTTATCAACTGTACGTTACATGTACACAATAAATATCACGTGTGACTTGGACAAGACTGAACACATCATAGCTGTCGGTTCAGTACTGTACTGGATATAAAAACATCTAGCCATGTCTAAAGGTCCTGCTAATGGGCCATATGAGCCACATTTCCCAATATAAAAAAATATTTTCCCCAGTATGAAATGTATTTCCCATTATACTCCATCACCCACCCCTTCCCCTCTCCCATATGAACCGTATTTCCCCTTATACGTCATCTATTCACCCATTCCCATTACACTCCATCATCTCCCTCCCCTATGTATCACATATACATATATATATATATACGTATATCCACCATCATTTCCATCATATAAGCCATCACACACACACCCGACCCCCATATGGACAGTATTTCCCCTTATACGTCATCTTATATTCCCCCATTTACCATTATACTCCATCACCCCCGACCCCTCCTCCCATATGGACAGTATTTCCCCTTATACGTCATCTATTCCCACCCCGACCCCCTCCTCCCATATGGACAGCATTTCCCCTTATACGTCATCTATTCCCCCCATTTCCCATTATACTGCATCACCAGCCCACCACCCCTGACCCCCTCCTCCCATATGGACAGTATTTCCCCGCATACGTCATTTATTCCCCCCATTTCCCATTATACTACATCATCCCTCTCCCCTATGTATTATATATACACCATCATTTCCCCCATATAAGCCGTATTTTCCTATACACACCCTCATTTCCATGTGAACCGCATTTCCCCGTATTCAATGCCATTTGGACAATATTGCCCGGTTCCCCATGTCACTGCGTATTGTTTCCAACACTGCGGCATGAGAAAACGTGTCCTGATAATATTAACAGCTATAGCTACAGCTACAACTGCACCTACAACAGTGGACAAGGCGTAAAGGACTCCCCTTAGCTTGGTAAGTTCATCAATAACTGATAAAGCCGTTAATGGATTTTGTCAGGCGTCCATTCTTCAAGTTATCAATTGCGTCTTCACGGAGCTATCAATTAAGAACGCCTTCAACAAGAGCACCAGGACTTTTTCTTCTTCTGGTTTCGCGACAACTTACTGACTTCAGATTGATCAGAAGACTGGGACATTGTGGAGTTTCGGGAAATGTTTTCTAGTACTTTTTCCACCAGCGTTTCAAATACACTATTCACGCTGTTGATGTCTCTCTCAGCGCTGACTTCTATATAGGGAATATTGTGTTCCTCCGCGAAACTGCTGGCTCTGTCTATCGTCACTTCTCGGTCATGTTCGTGACACTTCGTGCCCACAAGTACAACAGCGATTTCCTTGTGCGAAGCATATTCCCTCATGTCTTCAAACCTGGAAAATATGAAAAAGGCGATGTGATTGTTTTGGGATTAAATATAACTATTGTAACGTGTCCCAGTCTTTTTCACTTAACCGGCGGTGGGGTAACCTAATAGTTAAAGCGTTCGCTCGTCACGCCAAAGACTCGGGTTCAATTCCCTACATGGGTACATTGTATGAAGCCCATGTCTGGTGTCCACCGCCGTGATATTGCTGGAATATTGTTAAAAGTTGCTAAAACTAAACTCACTTACTTTAAATCTTACATTTAATTATAATTTGAATTCAAATCGGAAATACCGTTATTTATATCAAGTTCATCAGACATATTAATAATAACTAGTAACATCGAAATTTATTTGCCAAAAGAACAGTATGGTTTCTGGTTAATAGATACAACCAGACTGTACAAGTAAACGTAGCTAAAGTAAGGCCAGATATGATTGGAATTTGACAGAAGATATAAGCACATACATGTTTATGATACATGTACGACTCTACCTAGTTGGATATTAAAGCTCAGATGAATAAATGCACTTCAGGGGTGACTTCACAGGAGGAAATTTTGACAAACTGTAGTTTTGAAATACAGACTACAGATGGAACTCTTGTAGTAGTTATATTCAAAATAATTACGTAAAAAAGTCTTAATTCAAATCGCATAGATAATCTTGTTCACCCATGGAAGTTTCACTTCGTGTATGAGCATTGAACTGGCAACATGCGACTTGATATCTCTGCAGAACAATTAATTTCAAGTTTATACCAGTATTTCACACTAGAGAAACAAAGGGGGGAAACCTCTCGTCAGCTATGAAAGGGTTTACTATAGAATGTGTAAAGCCCTTAATTTGACATGTAGTCAGGTTTACAAAGTTGTAAACAAATCAGTTACCTCAGGGGTCGTGTCAAAATCAAAACCAGGTAGGAAACACAAACTGGATAGCTTTGATAAGGGTGTCATACGCCGTGCAGTTTATAAACTATGAAAGCAAAATCCCACCGACGTGTGCTGAAATACAAGATGAGATCAAAGATGCAATAAATGTCTCGAAAACAACACTTATTGTAGCTCTGGTAGAAATGGGGTTCAGGTACACCAAAAGGAGAGATGACAGAGCTGTGTTTAGAGAAAAGTCCAAAATCCTGTCCATGCGATCAGCTTATCTCAGAACAGTTGAAGAATACCTCAATTTGGGGTTTCAAATCATATACCTTGATGAAACCTGGTGTAATAAAAATCACTCAACCGATCGGATGTGACTTCCTTCAGATTGTTCTAAGGCACCAGTGTTACCATCAGGCAAAGGTAGACGCCTGATCATCTTGCATGCTGGTACCCGTAGGAAGCTTAAGGGACTGATTGGGGGTTATGACTTTGTTTTTGAGGCCAAGAAATCTGATGGTGATTACCATAGCGAAATGAATGGGCAGGTATTTTTGGATTGATTCGAACATCAGCTTTTACGGCAGCTGGACGAACCAAGCGTTACCATTTGGATAACTCCAGTTACATAACCTGCGTGTCCCTGGTACCATCACACCCACCATGAGCAATCTCAAGGCTCAGTTGCAGGATTTTCTCACTTCCTGTAACGTGCCTTACAGGCAATCAGAAACAAAGCCCCAGCTCGTGGAAAAAATCTGGCTGCACAAAAAGCCAATCCAGTACATCACTGACGAACTAGCTGCAAAACAAGGCCACATAGTTCTGCGTACAAGAGTACGGCACTGTGAGCTCAATCCCATCGAGCTGATCTGGGGTAACTGTAAGAATTTTATTGCTCGCAATAATACCACATTCACGCTTTCAGACGTTAAAGAGCTTGTGTATGCTTCTTTTGCGAGAATTACCCTAGAAGTGAGGCAAAAGTGTGAAGACTGTGTTCTCAAAATCGAGGACGAATACCGTCTGCGGGACGGCGTTAACGTCAGCCGAGTTGCACCTGTTGTAATTCCGCTAGATTCCTCGACCAGCAGTGATACTGACACTTGATATTTTGAGACGGTCCCTGACATGTACTGCCCGTGCGTTACGTAACGCTGTCATCCTGTCTGCCTGCCAGGAGGGTCACAGTATAGTTTGTTTCTTTGAAGTGTTTCTACCATGGATTTTCTAAGTTTTTCGATATTTTACGAGTAATAATTATGATCAGGGAATGGTACATCCTGATTACTCATGTGCCATATTAGGACGAGGTGGTATAAATGATTATATATGAGTTTTGAATCTGAAATATCAACCATTATCAAATAATTGTCAAAAAGCATTTTCCAAGCATTTCTGGCCTTACTTTAGTAGCAATCTTTGACCCGGGATTTCAACGTTCAAGGACGTGAACCGTTTATCAGATTCATCTTCATATATTTTGTAACGTCGTTTGATCCGAAGTAACCTTTTCTTGTTCTTGAGAGTCAAGTTAATGGCGTGTCAGCATGGAGCAATGCTCACAATGGTAATCACCGGTTCGTCTAGCCCAGTTTTGATTGATTGCATCAGCTTGTTGTGATATAACGGGAAGATTGTTCTCAGTGACGTTAAAACAATGGCGATGCTTCCTTGTGGATACTGCCAAAGTGTAAGGCTCCTAAAATTTGCTTTGCAGTGTTACATCCCTTGGGCGCATCAGGAACCTTTGATCGTGGGTTCAAGTACCATTTTGCCTCATTTGTTCATTTGTCTGTCAGCACAACCGTGTTCTTTGGGTTTAACCAAACTGTTCAACGTCAGTTAACTGCACCTCGTCGAGCTTTCCTACCACTTGCGTGAGTGAGTGAGTTAAGATTTAGAGTCAAATCGGCAATATTGCAGCCATATCGTGACTGTCCTACCACGTGAAGCTGACATATATGACTGGAAGGCCGCTAAAAGCGGCGTTGACCAAACACACTCCCTATGCATAGATATAGCATGACATGCTGTTGACCACACCTTGCTAATAGACCGACTTCATACTCTATAAGGTTAAGACGACGTTGTTTCGGACTGGTTTTGCTCGTACCTGAGAGTTAGCAATAATGCTACATCATCTGACACTCTTTTGACTTGTGGTGTACCCCAAGGTTCGGTACTGGACCCAGTACTATTTACGCTTTACAGCAAGCCTGTCTCTCAAGTCATTAGTAACTATGCCATCAATGATCATTTTTAACCTGATGACACGCAATTGTACAATACTTTTGCTCTTGATGACCAGTCATAGAGGGCAGGACTAGGTGCGATGGAAGACTGTACATCCAAAGTTTGCGCCTGAATGAACGCTAACATGCTAAAGTTTATACAGCGGCTTTGCTCATAGGACCTGACAAAAGGCTGGAAAAGATCAAAGCAACTCATATCACAGTCGAGAGTGATGAAATCCACTTTTCGACATATGCTAAAAACTTAATTGGGTGTGAAGCTGGACTCATCACTCAACATGGACAAGCACGTCGATGACGTCAAAAGATGCTATTTTCAGCTCCGAAACATAGGTAGCACACACTTTCTTCTCACAGAACAAACAGCTGCAGCACTTGCACGTTCAATGATCCTCGCCAGGACTGACTATTGTAATAGTCTGCTTTTAGGGGCTCCAGCGCAGCAAAGCAGAAGGCTCCAAAAATTCAGAACTCAGCGGCTAGAATTGTCACACTGTCAAAAACGTCCCATTACATCACTGCAGTCCACAGGTATCTTCACTGGCTGCCAGTCAAAGAACGGATACATCATAAAATCCTCACCCTCACATATCAGTGTATCAATGATACAGCTCCAGGTTATCCGTGTAATTTACTCGAAGTCTATGTCCCTACAAGAACTCTCCGTTCCAGCGATCAAATGCTACTTAAGGTCCCAACATCAAGCTCAAGACATTTGGTGGAAGATCCTTCGCATATAATGCTGCCGTTGAATGGAGCGCTCTGCCAATTGACCTGAAATCAACTCCAAGTCTAACTCAGTTCAAGAAGCTTCAGGTCTTAACACCTCCATGTTCAATAGCAATGAATTGTAAACATGGTATATCTATCATCTCTTTTTAGGTCTTTGAGGACAAGTTGGTGTGGAGTTTAACTAATAATCCATATTATTATTGTTATTATTATATAAGCTGGGTTTTCCCCTCACTCACCATCTGTGAACGTGGTCGAAGGTTTCTTCGTTGGTAACGTCAAACATGATTATACATCCGTTAGCTCCTCTGTAGTATGATGCTGTGAGACTGCGGTATTTTTCTTGTCCTGCAACAGATATAACCATCATAGCTTATTAACCGTTATATTCCAGTTGACTGTCTTAGGAGTCGACTACCAGTGAAGAATTGGTCTTCAGCAACCCATGCTTGTCGTAAGGGGCGACTAACGGGATCGAGTGGACAGGCTGGCTGCCTTGGTTGACATATGTAATCGTATCCCATTACGTAGGTCGATGTTCATGCTGTTGATCATTGGAATTTCTGGTCCAGACTCAATTATCTACAGACAAATATTTGGAATATTGCTGCGGTGATAAACAACAAACAAACAAACAAACTAAAGAGTCGATTGGAACATCAAGGGTAGGTGTAGGCTCTTTCTTTTGGTTGACTACGGTCACCGGGCCTGATGGCGACAGTTATGCTTATTCAGGGGGTGAGAGGATTGATGGTGTAAATGGAATCCTGCCTTCCCTGAAAGAGTTCACCTATTATCATCCATTGTGTTTTGTGACTCAAGTCAAAACATTGATTACACAACAGTCTCGTTTCCTGTTGACTGGGTCCCGTCCTATTGCGCAACTTGGTACAATAACCAGTCCAGAATTTTGGGACCAATTCATTTAACTGGATTTACTGGATCAGTATTATTTGATACATCTTAGCACACTACGCTCCTTCTAATCCTTGCAACACGTCGTGCAGCGTGCTCTGTCGTACAGCGAACTTTGAGAAACAGAAACCTGGAAATCGTGGAAATCCCAAAACGAGGCTCTCCCGCTAGAAAAGTTTGGCGGTCTGGTACGAACCTGATATTATATCAATCCCATTGTGCGTTACAAAACTACACCGAAAAACGCATAACAGGTGTAACCAGTGAGCCAGATGCATTGTGAATCATTTTACGACCTCATCAAACGGGGGCAGTCGGTGACGTCTTAGTTAAGGTCATGCTGCCTACACCTCGCCATAAAATATAGAAATACGATGTAATTAAAGTTTAAAATTAAAATTCATTTGTAAATACCATTTTCTTATGAAACAAGGAATTGGAATTCAGTGTAACCATAGTTGTTTGTGATGTCGTTTTTCACTTGCACACGAGAAAATTCGGATCGGCTGAAAAGTAGTCATTGTCTGAACAGGTTAATGAGACTCAGGTTTCGGTTCGTGGGTTAGATGGTGTAATAGGCATCGCTAAAGTACTCACGGAAGTAGAAATACAATGGTTTGGGGCGTTTATTTCGTAGTTTTGAACACAACTAAAGTTTGATTGCTAAATATTCAACACCTTTTGTAAAATCATCAGAAATAGATGAGTTTACAGTAAAGCAAATCGTGTCATTTTTACCCCTTGAAATTTCATCAGTTAAAACGTAGGTTTCTGATGCAAGCTATAGCATGCAACTAAGATGTACTCTCCATAGGTTCGTGTACATAACATATTTTATGAAAAACGTCATATACCATTCATCCTATATTTCTTTTATCCTACTTGATATACAAAATGATTGATTTACGGATTCTCTCAGTACATTTTTCACACCTGTACTCCTGTTGTTTACGAGTTCATTCATAGCTGTTATTGTCAATTGCACAATCGCTATGGCAACGTACGTGCAAAGGCATCTTCCTGTATAAACAAGGGGCGGTGGGGTAGCCTAGTGGTTAAAGCGTTGGCTCGTCACGCCAAAGACCCGGGTTCGAATCCCCACATGGGCAAAATGCGTGAAGCCCATTTCTGGTGTCCCCCGCCGTGATTTTGCTGGAATAATGCTAAAAGCGGCGTAAAACCAAACTCAGTCAGTCCTGTATAAACAGTGCTGCAGGTAGTTGTTACCACCCATTGTTGATTGTGACGTACGTTATAACATGTTTGGGGCGGTGGGGTAGCCTAATGGATAAAGCGTTGGCGCGTCACGCCGAAGACCCGGGTTCGACTCCCCACATGGGTACAATGTGTGAAGCCCATTTCTGGTGTGCCCGCCGTGATTTTGCTGGAATATTGCTAAAAGCGGCGTAAAACTAAACTCAGTCAGTCAGTTATAGCATGTTCCTTCATTTGGTGATAATATACAAACTTTTGCTATTTTTACCTGTTAAATGGTATTTTGGATGATGATTACAGGACCAGATTAAAAGGCCTAGTTGGGAAAAACACAATTATTTTAATATTTGTTAAAACTACCTGTTTAAATCAATAAAGTAATAAACAAATAAACGCCAAAAACATTTTATTTCTAATTCCATGAGTACTTTAGTGTTGCCTTCTCGGTCAAAGCGCGTTGATTGTGTAACAGTCATAGTTAGGTGGTACCTCGTCGGTCAGGAGCGTACCATGAATGCTCGCAATATGGAGTATCCACTTATATAATTGACCCGTGAAGTTCCGGGGTAGAATAGGTCTTCACCAACCCATGCTTGCTACAAAAGGCGACTATGCATGTCGTAAGAGGCGACTAACGGGATCGGGTGGTCAGGCTCGCTGATTTGGTTGACACATGTCATCGGTTCCCAATTGCGCAGATCGATTCTCATGCTGTTGATCACTGGATTGTCTGGTCAAGACTCAATTATTTACAGACCGCTGCCATATAGCTGTAATATTGCTCAGTGTGGCGTAAAACTAAACTTACTCACTCACTACTATATAATTGTTATGTTAACTCTAAATGGAGTAAGGATTTTTTCAATTCACTTGGTTAGAAGTATTTACAACTAATGTATGTAAGGTTAGAGTAAGCGTTATCTTGCTTTAGCACCTGCAAAATTTGACGCGCGGCCTCTTGGCTCAAATGTTTCCGCCACGTTGACATGTGCAAAAAAGATATATCATGCAGATTTATTCACTCATAAATCGTTCCATGTTAAATTTGCTCGTCAGTCTCGTGGCCATGATTCACAGCGACATCCAAAATCCGGGATGTTTTATGTCAGAATTGTAGGCTACTGGTACAAGTGTACTTATATAAGGGGTGGGGGTGGGGGTCCAAACTGCTATTAATGAACATTGATATTTTTTGCCAATACGATAAGATTTCACCAGGCACGTAACAATGTGTGAGTGAGTGAGTTTGGTTTTACGCCGCTTGTAGCAATATTCCAGCAATGTCACGGCGGAGGACACCAGAAATGGGCTTCACACATTGTACCCATGTGGGGAATCGAACCCGGGTCATCGCCGTGACGGGCGAACGCTTTAACCACTAGGCTACCCCACCGCCCCCATCGATGTGTATCTCATTTCAAATAGAGGCCGAAACCTTGTTTAAAACTGGGACCAGTCTGTATGACAGCCGTGACCTAACATGACGGAAGGGGAGATGATGGTAGCGGTCGGAGTAGATTTATCTCTTCAGGACTCTGATGTTGACAAATTAAACTAAATTATTGTCGCCGTTCTACATTTTGTTCTGCATTGTTTTTATTCTATTTTTAAAACCGTGAGAACATGAGTGATAATTCGCCAAGGATTTCTTTAACAGACATGTGATAATAATGTATACAATTACGTGTGACACGGTGAAAGGTGTTCAGAGCTGAAATAGATAATATCTGTGCCACCAGGACACTTAACATAAACTGTTTAGGGTAAAGATTATATTTCAGCCTGACAGTAATCAGATGCTGAAACATTGTAAATTTTGAATGATCCATTGTATACCAGCAGGTTTTAATGTTTAAACCAGGGCTTCGCGCCACATTATTCCATTATATAACACTGTATGATCTTAATGTGGGTCACCCATGAAGAACCGGATTAGAATTGATCTTCAGTAACCATACTTGTCGTAAGATGCGGGTGAGATCCCCGACCGCGTCATACCAAAAGACGTTAAAATATGGTACTTGTTGGTCCCTGCCTGGCGCTCGGCATTAATGGGTACAACAAGGACTGGTCGGCTCGGAGTCAGTATAATGTGTCTGAGTGGGGTATTCATGCTTCACTGCGGCATGGTATCTCAGTGGGCTAGCACTATAACACCAGCTTAAGTCTGGGCTAGTACAAGCAGCCGCACCTACACATACACACGCATGCACGTCGTCATATGAGCGAAATATTCTCAAGCACGACGTTAAACCCAATTTTACCTCACCTCACCCGTAAGATGCGACTAACGGGCTCGGGTGATCAGGCTCGCTGACATGTCATCGGTTCCCAGTTGCGCAGATCGATGCTCATGCTGTTGATCACTGGATTGTCTGTTCCAGACTCGAGGATTTACAGACCGCTGCCATATAGCTGGAATATTGCTGAGTGCGGCGTACAATTAAACTCACTCACTTACTTAATGTGGCTTTAATGTCAAGTTCAAAGTGATGCATTGTTTTCCTGTTTATACTTTGGTAAAAACAACGAACACGAGTATAATGCTGGCAATCCTAGAAACATAATAAGAGGCGAATATTGGATTTGAAATCGCTGACCTAACAGCATTATATATCTGAGGGGCGCAACTCTAAGTTGCCGTTTTTTCTGCAAACAGTATTAATTAATTAATTCTGTAGTAAATAACGTTATCTCCCCGCTGACATATCTAAACCTTATCTGGTACATGTGTAATACGATAACTATGTCGGTGGATGTATGATAGACATGTCTTGCTCACATTGCTTGATTGGGACGATATTCTGTCATGTGGATTGTATCAGTGTTGATGATGATGATGATGACGATGAATATTTTACTAAGACAAAGACCGTTTTGAAAATGCTGGAAAAATACATAGTTGTACATTTTCAAAGCTTAATTGACCATATAGTAGACGTCATATGACTGAATTGTTGATCTTTTCGGTAGTTCTCAAACAAGTTGTTCTGCTCTTCCCATACGGGAACGGGGGCGGTGGGGTAGCCTGATGGTTAAAGCGTTCGCTCGTCACCCTGAAGACCCGGGTTCAATTCCCCACATGGGTACAATGTGTGAAGCCCATTTCTGGTGTCCTAACTCCGCCATGACATTGCTGAATATTGCTACAAGCGGCGTAAAACCACACTCACTCACTCACCCTTACGGGAACGATATATCTTAAAACAGCGAAAGAA